GGGCCCACAGAGATTAGAGAGATGTGTTTTCTCGTTCCTTTCGCCACGGCAATAAATAATCATCGTCCTAATGAATTCGTGTGGTGGTCCGTAACTACCGGTCCGGCCGACTCGGGGAGCATCTCTCCTGGTTTTTTTTTGTCGCGGTACCAAGAAACACTTTTCGTATCACATCGTATCAGTAATGTGTTACGGTTTCGTACAACGCAAGTCGAACAACGTGTCGCTACTTGCGCGCGCGTAAAAAGCAACCCGGAGAATCAACACCGAAATTCTTGGTGCTCCTTTTGTCGGACAAACCGGCGCGGCGCGGCGCGGCGGTTTTCTCAACACCGACGTTAATTACCTTTGCGTTGCGCATGGCGTACGTGCGAGGGAACCTGAATTACGGGGTCTCTGAACGCAAAAACTCGTGCGTCGGAGGTACGTACGGATTGCGCGAGAGAAAGAGAGGAGGAAAAGAAAAGCGCGCGCGAAGGGACGCAAAGACTGGCAAAGAGGCGCGCCGGTTATTTATAAGCCGCTAAGGTACCCGGTATACCGAACCCTTCGAACCACGACTGCTCTTCTCTGTACGTTTCTTTTTCTTATTTTTTCGTTCGTGACATCGACGTTCGGTTAAAAAACCGCGAAAGAAACGGAACGATCTTTATGACACGCTTCGTCGTTGCGTGTATGTACTATGTATCTCTCCTCGATCTTTTTTTTCACCACTCTTGATAATTTCATTCCGATTGCTACCAAAGGAAACTCGCTATTGCAAGTTGCAAGTATCGTCGTTTTCATTTAAAATGTTTCATAAAGACGATAACTGAATAAAAATCGAACATAATTGATATTACATTCCATTTAAATTTCCTCACTATTCGACTTTTACTTATTACTTTGCCAATATGTTTTTCAATGAACTTTTAGCTTTATGAGCAGAATTTGCATTTATTTTTCTTTAATCTTGGCAAAGTTTCTTTGTATTCTATATGAGAATAAATAAACTGCACTTGCAAATGTGGTAACTTTACCACATTTAACTCGATGGGGGTGCACAAATTAAATTTACAAAATGAAGAATTATATTAAGAGCTCGTGCAGTATATATACTTAATTTCGAGTCTGTGTGTGTGTGTGTGTGTATGCTTAATAACTGTATATCATATAGAAATATATATAAGGCGAGCACGCGAAAATACTTGGAATATTAAAGGTGGCTTGAGATCTCCGTAACTCATAAATCATCGGCGTCTACTTGTACCTATGTATTCGCATGTCGACAGGATAGTCCATCTTTTAAATACATATGTGGTGCGTGTCTGACTAAACCCTTTTGGTCTTCTTAATGACTAGCGTCATTGTATACTTAAATCACTCCCTTCGAGCTTTATGATTACATAGTCGTCGAGCAACGTAAACGCAGGTAATTGAACATTAATAAATTATCGAATCGACACGTTATCAGTAATTACAAGCACACAGATAAAGTTCATTCAGAAAAGTGGTTGAGAGCATTGTACCTTACGATTTACGATGCGGCTTTTATTCGTCAAATTTTCTTCATTCAGAATTTTTAACTAAATAAAGATAAATTTTCTCCAATCAAGTACTGCAAATGCGGAAGAAAAGTAATACGAACGAAAAGTAGCAATTAAGGTATCACCGTTCGCAATGTTCGTATTATTATAGCTGTCATTATACGCTGAAAGTAAAAATAAAAGTCTTGGAGACAGGTGAATCGCGTACTCTTCTTCATGAACGAATAAATCATGGATGAGGCTGGACTTCCGCGCTTTATTCCACGGCTCGTTAATTCAGAATCCTTCATGCAGAATGGATCGTTTCTTTCTTCGGGAATCTGCAATGAGACGAGGATCATGCATGTCCCAACACAGGATCCATAGCCCCGGAATTTTTCCTCAGATCATTTATGGTGAACGTACCTTGAAGTACGATCCATTGTACTCCCTTTCTGTACATACGTTTAGTTCGTACATGTACAAGTGCAGTTTGCCCCTACATAATGTTTCAGAAGAAGGTATCAAGTTTTCAAAAAGAAACGTGCAGCGAAATATAAATTTTGCATAAAATAGATATTATATATAATAATTATAATTACATAAAGTGTTTTATAAATAAAATATAAAAAATGTGAATTTTGCTTAAAATATTTCATATCGTTTTATGAAACAGGTTTGAAAAAAAATTTTAACAGATTCTGTGAACAATTTGAAAAAAATTTTTTTTTTAAAGTTTGAATGAAACTAATAATGACATGGACTTTTAAGATTCGATTGTTCAAATAATTCCAATATAAAAAGGAATTTGAAAGAAAATAATTCATTGCAAACAGAAATAACATAAGTTTTCGTTTGTTCTCGCAATATATAGTTTAACTTAATTTCATTACTATATTTAAATTCAATCTTGACAGAGAAAGTTAAGTAATTTAAGACATTAAAAGTTCATAATTGTTTAAATAATCAAAGAATCTCTCTCTCTCTCTCTCTCTCTGAATATTAATACAAATTTACTTCGTACAGCTAATGTCTAAAAACTAGCGTTGGTAATAGCAGAAAAGAATATTAAAGAGAATTCTAAATAGAGACAACAGAAATCGTTACAAAAGAAATCGATCGAAAGAATCCAGACTACAGGGACAACACTGAAGAATCTGCGGAAGCTACGACAACCGGCAAGTTCAACTACTCGTTGCTGCTAGTTGTCCTCGAGAATCTTTGTATGGGATAGATAGAAAATAAATGAGCGAGCGTCGTGCACGTTCCCATAGGATTCTTACTAAGTTGAGACTTGTATGGAACGGCATGCGAAAGCAATCATCACTGATTATCACTGATAGTCGCGACCACGATCCCGTCACGGGCCGAACGTTTCCGCCTCCGTCGTATTTTTTTCACGCTCTCGTACATCATATTTTCATAGTCGATTCTGGTAATTTTTGCAGCATCCTGTTACGCGGAGTTCGTCGAACCGCGTCGGAGCAGTGACCGTCATCGACGTCATCCGTAATTTAGTAACGACTGACCTTGATAAAAAAAATTATGCTATAGATGATAGCTTATAAATAGTAATATCGTTCTTTTATCAAAAGAGTTCAAAACTCTTTGCATCTTTTTATAAACACATTGGACTACTATAGAAGAGTCGTAAAATACATTTTTGTTCTTTACTTCGTTATCTCATTACTCAGATATAATGTAGATAATAAAATTGTTATTAGAGTAGATATTGGCGTCACTTGTCTTAACAATTTTGTAAGAATTATAATATGATGTTTTATTTAATATTCCGATATTTTATCAAAGTAACAACAAATATATTTTTAAACAATATTTTATACATTAAAATAAATATTCGCTTAAAAATAAAATTTGTGTAACGATGAATTTTGTAAGATTTATGGATTTATATGTCAGTTGAATTTGTGTATCACACTTAAATTTATTGTTTTGTTTTCTATTATGTGCAAGTATTTAAGTCTACTCTACAATGTGCTCTTTGTTTCCTGTTTCTTGTTTTTTATCTTTTGTTTTTTTCCCCTTTGCAATCGTTTTATCGACAATTATCTTGCTACGTGTGTTTCCTGTTTCTTTCGAAGTTCGTTAACTTTTAAAACAAAAAGATAAGATAAAAAAATAGCAAAAATAGTAAAAAATAGCAAAGAACAAGAAACAGAAAACTAAAAGCACATTGTAGAATAACCATTATAGATAGGTATGAAGACATTTTTTACTGACATTAGATACTCAAGTGAATGCGCAAATATTTAAAAAATCTTGTTGATTCATAAGTATTCCCTGCAGGGCTCTTGACTCGTTACATCAGCGTAATTCTCTTCTTAATAATTCATTTTTTAATATCACTATTAGATTTTCATTACGGTTATAAATAGCGGAACCTGTTCCCACGAGCCGCTCCGACAGGGAAAATCGTATCGATGCCGCGATATGGTGAGAAAAAACGTACACGCACGGGTTGGCACAAGAGGTGCATCCTGCGCGATCCAAGGTCGAGAAACAGAAGAGACGCGACGGTCTACATAACTCGATCTTGGATGCTGCAATGGCTTGGATGGCTTTATACTTTCCGTCGACACGCTGTATCTTCAACTTGCTTTCATATCCGTTTTTCACGAGATCGGCATGCCGCAATGACGACGAGGGTCCTCCTTGCGCGCAAGCCTTGGGATATGCTCAACTTGGCTTTTATCAGTATCGAAGTCTTCACGCACAAATGAAACCTGCTCTGTACCATTATTCCTTAATTGATTGATAATTATCTTGCACAAAATGATATAAAGGTATCACTGCTAACTGTCCTCAAAAAGAAATACTATTAGACTTGATGTTGCACGCAAGAAGTATACTTTACGTAATTACACTTGTTACAACTGAATAACTTGAAACATATATATATATATATATATATATATAATATATACAGTATACACACACACATACATATATATAAATTACAAAAAAGAATATCCGGTTAGGTAGACGCGAAAAAATTAAAGTATCGTTTCGTTTCCAATTGAGTGACATTTTTTGCTAAAAGGAGATAATCAAGAAGAATTGAGGGACTCAATTATCTGTATAATATTTTGTCTTTCACGTTGATGCATGAGAGAGAGAGAGAGAGAGAGAGAGAGAGAGAGAGAGAGAGAGAGAACCTACGCTAATTCTATAGAGCGATAACTAGCTTGAGTGCGAGAAATGCGATTGAACGGAGAACTGGACAGTGTCGCATTCTCCGATGAAGAGGTGCGAATTCCTGGACGGTATCGGTTCTCGTGTGTAATGTGTAACGATCGGAACACGGTTTGTGCCCCCTTCCACACCTGGACGCAGCCACTATTCCTTCTCGCGTGCACATACACACGCGTGTTGGTGCTCCACGCACACCGGCAAGCCAATTGGAGAGTCAAGTCTTGGCCAAGTCTTTATAAGTAGGAGCCATCCGCGTCCTCAGGACTTACTCCCTCTCGGGAACGTGCCACGATCAGCAACCGATTTTCAGAATAGTTAGTAAAAAGTTTGTAAAGCCAACCAGGCTCACGCTCCACGAATTTCCGAACGACGAGGATTCAAAGGAAACAGAAGGATTTGTGAGATGACGAACGCGGACGACTAACAAATGACGGAATTCTTTGCTGAATGCATCGAAATGTAAGTCCACATACTCCTTTTTCATATTTGTGAAGATGAATGGAAACCAACGCTTCTGTCATTTTTGGTTTAGCAATAAGCTAAAAAGTAAGATTTTTTTTTAACGTGTGTTATAGATTGTGTATTTTTTGAAAATTTTTGCAAATTTGAAATGTATTTGTTAGCAAAAGTGATTAAATCATTAATCTCTAGGAGATTGCATATGTATTGCGAAAAATTTAATGAGAATTATAAGATGTACATTTTTTGTTAATTTGCGCGTTTGTATTTATTAATGAAAAGTGATTAGATCATTAATCTCCAGGGGGTTGCATGATGGCGAAAGATACTTGTACCGGTCAATGAATAAATGTTTGGCGTTTAAATAATTAAGAGAATAAATCTCGTTTGAATCGAAGTTAATTTATAGTATAATTTTTCGGAATCATCATAAGCGGTCACGCAAATATAATTTATTGTCTGCAGTTCTGAAACTTCGTAGAAATATATCGTTGGGTATTTCTTCGCTTCCTTGGGAAATAGATTGGCGGATATTTAACGAAGGCTTTAGAGGGAGTGATTAGCATAAATTTCGACGTCCGAGGCGTTACTGGTCGAAAATTTAAGCAGCCTCATAAATACATAGCGATTATGATGCATCAGATAACGGAGATCGGTTCGATCATGCGTTGGTGTCGATAATTGATAACCAAATGATGCGTTAAGTTCCTCAAATGTATATTTCTAATTTTTTTAATAGCAAAATAATTTGCATAATTATTGCGTTTAGCGTTACTAATATACTACATATTTTATAGTGATAAACATAGTAACGTTTATACATTTTTGTAAATGTAAAATTTTTCTTACATTGCAGCGCTTTTCATTCAGCTCTTGAAATCAAAAGCTTAATTGATTATTACAAGTTAACAGGTATAGCAAAAGTATCAGAAGTCTCATAATTTAAATCGAAGCTATTTTATTGCTGAGATTAATCACGATATATGTATAATGGATACCTTATTTCCGATAGTTATCTATAATTAATAGCCATTAGGATTCCATTAAACTAGTTAAACTGTTAATATTAATACATAACGATCACTTGCAATTTTACGTCTTAAACGTATAATTGAATGTGATTGTGTTTATTGCGGTAATAAAATATGAAAACAGTAATTTAAATGAAACCCTCGTTTTAGTAATTTCCATCGTGAAATTATCCGATATCATCTAATAATATACGTAAAAACTTGAAACACGAACACTTGATGCAATAGCTTTCATACCTCATACTTTTATAATCATATTTTCATATCCTAAAATTTATATCAAGAAAATGCTATTGGCATTTAGCGTAATAAAAAGTCTTTGGAGCTTTGGTCGAAGATCAATGTCGAGCGTGTAATCGTTATGTGGTCATGACACTGGTCATCACGTAACTGTTTCACCCGGTCACAAGCGGGTCTTACAATACTCGTAACATGCCCACAATGTAAATGACCGTTGCCGAAATATTTCCCCGCTCGATCGCGAATTCACGTCACGATCTGAACGGCTGCTGTATTTGGCTCGACATTCCGCGCTTCGTATGCTCGGCTCGAGCACGGCCGGTCAATCCGTCGTTCGATCTTGGCATTGAAATAACCGATCGGCCAAGAAATAAACAGGCATGCTCGCGGGCGCATAATGCATTATGTACGTTTGTGTAGCATTTCGTAATCTGTAGACGGCAACAGCCTTAAGTGATACCGGTCTTAAAATTAATTTTCGGTCTGATGTATCATAAAGAAACACCGCACGTGCACTGTGTAAGTATCGAGCGAATCATGCGGATTTCATCCCAACATATTACTTAATTATTGCTGCACAAAATGCGCATTAAAAATTGCACGTGTAATAAATAAATATTTGCTACAAGCAATGATTAGGATAAATGAGAAAAGTATATTAGATATTTATGGATATATTGCAGTATAAAATTTGTTACGATAAAATATGTAAAGTGAATCACGCAACTTTTTCTATTTCTTTTAATGATCAAAAATGGTTTTACTAGCAAAATATTATATCGATAATATTTTGGGAGTAAGACCACTTTTTTTAATCATTAAAAAAAAACAGAAAAAATCACGTGATTCACGCGGCACTCTGTATTTTTTATTATACAGTTTTCACAATTAAATAGAGGAATTCTAAAAATAAATAATTAATTAATAATTTTTAATACTAACATAAAAATAGTTGTCACATTATTTAAAAATAAGAAATCAACATAAAAGAACCCTGTGTAAACCTGTTACAAAGAACAATCTTTACAAAAGAAAACGTGTAATTATAAAAAATTTTTTTTCGTTACGTGATACAAGGAATGTTTCCATTATTAACAATATTTTAACGAGCAACGTTTCCAGAGAGTTCAGCCTTGCGCAATTATTCCAAAATGGAAGATAAAAGTAACCGGAAGGAAAAATTCGAAATTGACTCAACGGCAACTATACACGCGCTTGTTTAATCACAATCTGTACATAGAAAAAAAAATCAGTAAAATCTTACCGATTATCATCCATACGGCTTAAAATTATTTTTATATTCAATATTGAATTTATCTATAAAATTCTATAAATTACGAAATAAGAATAAAAAATAAATGCACATACACGCACACATTTAAATACTGAATATAATTTATCTACGTACACAAGTTATTATAAATTATTGTTTAAAGAAATATAAAATTTACATTATGTAGGTATATATACACACATATATATATATATATATACATATATTTCCAGTTACGTTATATTATACCAGCTCAATGTGATCATTAATTGCACCAAACAAGGTTCTTACTATGAACATACCGATTCCATTGATTCACCGCGGCTAGTAATTATGCTCTGTTTATGTCTACGTAATTCACACCTGCAGCTTTCTCATTTTCTTAGAGATATGTAGCTTGTATACCAAATAGCCTTGAACCTTACACGCGGAGCTAGTGTCAGTGACGGATTTACGCACGAAGCATGATAGATCTTCGGGATACCTACGGGGTGATTGTAGTAGCAAATGAAAGAGACATTGAAAAAAGAGGTGTAGAGACTTGTAAAGAGGATGGTAGAAGCTGAAGAGTTAGGAAAAGACGTATACAACTTACAAGGATCCCTTTAATTGCGACGTGTCACTGCAAGAGGAGTTTGGATGATGTTGCTAGCCACGAAGAAATCCACAGAGTACAGTTGACGAACGTCAAGTAAATTTTTATAACATTATGCTACGCGCTATTAATTCAGCGCCAAGTTTATATTGCGCTTGCAAATGAAAATTTTTCACTTTATAAAAAAAATATTAATAGCATATATAAGCAGCCAACTATACTCATGCAATATATATTACATATACACATATATATATATATATATGTATAATATATCACATAAGTTAGTTATACATTTAAAGATTTATATTAATTTCCCTAAAATAAATAGTGCAAATTAAAAATATTTTACATTTTCATAAAGATTATATTATATATTTATCCTTTAAATCAATATGTAATTAAATTTGTAGAAATAATTAATTATGAATTTTATTTATTTTAACGGTAATTTTATTCCAAATTTTAAAGAAGAGAGTCTAAAGATTCTCTTAAATAAAAATAAGTTATTACAAGAACGAAGGACTCTTAATTTAAAAACAATAAGGAAAGAATAAAGGAAGAGAATATTGTTCTTAAATAAAAAGTCATTCAAGAATGAAATCTTTCTATCAAAGATACACTTATGTTGAATTGTACATATTTACAAATAAGCAATATTTCAGTAATAATAACATGCCACAATAATCAATGCAGTTATCGCTAGCTATTTTAAGAGGAATTCATCTTATACCTTGATTTCATTGAATACTGCAAGGTTGTATTACATTGTATTGCTGAATAATAGAAGGTCCTGTCGCGATTTGAAGAAAAATTTACCTTATTTTTTATAATAATATATATTTAATATAAATAACTGATATAAACGGGAATATATAAATCCTATTGTTATTGTTTTATAAAAATATTTAAGTATTTTAATGCGCGCGCGCACATTTCCTGAATAGAAGATATGTTTCTTATAATGTTTAGTGAATGTCCTTTCAGTAATTGTTACAATTTATTCCGGATTCTGTATGACTTCTCATTATTCCGACGCCACTGTACATACACTAGAATACATATCGGTAGAGAGGGCAAAAGTGGAATTGGCGGGAGAAGAAACGACCTTGCTACTTTCCACGGCAAGGTTGCACTTAGGCCGTACGCATGCTATCATAACAGCTCAGGTTCACTGTACCGCATCATCGCCCGCAGACTGAGATATTACTATTTCCTTCGTCACGATATAACAGGTTGTGTCTCGATTAGCTTTTGTTTCTGTCTGAATGCACACCACATAAGTTGTAATTTTGAGCATTTACTTTACAAAATTTCCCAAAGCAAACTTTATATATTTGCTAATGCAACTTATTAACAATTTTGAAAAGTTAATTTTGCGTTATAAACATTCGATATAGTATTGTCGGTATGTCCTCCAACTGTTCGGTTCTGAATAAAAAATAATAATCGCACGCCACTTATCCTTCATTATTCATAAAAAATGCTTGCGATGAATCAAATCGAACGTCGACTGCGCAAAGAACGTATAGACTCAAGGATCGGGAAATATACACTTACATTTTCTGCCAATTTTCTATTATTACGGCGTTATCAACGATGTTTGGCGACAAGGTTGACTATAGATTACTATTTCTTAAAACATGTTCCACGCAATTAACAAGCATCTGTGTCGAGAATTCCAATAATCGTTTTTAATTCGAGGCCAAACTTCGTTTCACGCGTGAAGTTATTCGAATTGAAAAAACTGGTTTTTAAGATAAAAATCGAGAAAGCATCTACATATTATGCGATTCAAAAAGATATACTTCTAAAATTAATTATATTTTGAATTATATCAGATTTATAATTAATTTATAATAATGTTTAATTTTTAAGGATCATGCAAATTAATGACGAACTATGTACGTTAAAGGAAAGAATATTCTTATAAAATGCAAAAAGAGTGTCGTTGTGAAGTACATAATTATATACCTTCATTATTCTATAAAAAGCCTCTCTCTCTCTCTCTCTCTCTCTCTCAATTTGCAATCTTATTATCAATCTTTCTGATAAATGATAAGTCAAGTAATAATTTATTGCCTTTAATGGGGCAATCTCGAAACTTGTCAAACTTGTTGGTACGGCTGTTAATAACGATATTGAGTGACACTCAACCACTATTAATTAGATTATCGGCTCTTTACGATCGATTATCCAGACTAGTAAATTTCTTGTCCCATCATTTTCATAAACAATTTATCGTTAAATCTTTAAAGAATGAAAGAAGAAGGAGAAGAAGGTGTGCAATAACTGTCGATAATTACAAAGTTAATTAATGTAATCTGAACGCTATCATGTTAATTTTTTCTAAAGTCCCTCCCTAAAGATGATAAAGATATTTTCGATGATGCGATTAGAAAAATTACACATTTCTGTTTTGTATTTCATTATCGCACTGACATTTGTTATTAAGAGCATTTAGGTTCGTAATGTCTCGATTTGATTTTTTACAGTTCATCTACAAATAAGCTAATTATTATTTATTCAATTAATTTTATTCGTTTCTGTCAAATTTAAAACTCTTTCTAAACTGATAAACTCAAGAGTCGTAATGTAAATACATGCTTAGGTAAGCGCGGTAAAGCCTTTTACGCTTGATCGAAGATGCAGAAATCAAATACGCTTATCGCGAACATTTAACTCACGATAAGCATTTGATTTCTGCATCTTTGATTGCGAACTTTCTTTATCTGTAGATATACCTCAGACATGCAAGTTAAATATGTACACTATTTATAATAATAATCAGTACGCGTTAATGAACACTTAATGTTTTGTGAAGATATCGGATAGCGTTATCATCAATTTTCCTATTTTCAGATGTTCTAATAAAAGAAACGCAATATATACGATTCAATTTACATTTAAATCGAGTTACCGCTATGATGATACATATACTAATATCAGTGATTACATATATTAGTGAAGGCAAACAAACTGGAAGGCCAATTGCATCTAGATTACTTTATGTGATCAAAAATAGCATTTTACCATGACGTGTTAATTCTCGAATGGTAATACATGAACAATAATTAAATAAATAGTTTCACGTATTTGCATGTTTGAGAACTTATGAAAGATTCGATATATAAATTCTATCGGCATTGCGCTGCATGAAAGAGAAAGAAAGAGAGAGAGAGAGAGGGGGGGGGGGGGGGGGGGGGGGGAGAAAAGGAAGCCAGTTAATTCCGCGATGTCGATTCTTACCAGTCGAGATATCCATCGGCGAAGGGCGGGTTAATTGCACGACAAACCGCGGAGATACGCTGGACACGTTGTCCTTGAAATGCGTCCGAGGCTGCGAGTTCGTTTAGATTTAATTCCCCGAAGTAGCAACAACAGCAACAGCAACAGCAACAGCAACAGCAGCAGCAGCAGCAACAGCAGTAGCAGCAGCAGGTGGTAGACCTGTTTGAAACGGTTTATAAATAAGCCATGTTACCCTCTTAACAGCCTGTCATTACTTGCGCGTATCTTCGAACCGTCTGGCATTTATATCCGCAGCTTAGAGTATCCGTTTACACTTTGATAGTAAACGATAGTAACAGCCGAACGGCTATCCTCATTATGCTTTATGCACGCAGCGATGCGCCACGCAACAAAATGTATCTGCAATATTTTACGATAGACAACGTGGAATCTTGCACAACGTTAATTGCCTATAAAAGAGATGAATAAGAAATAAATGCACGTTGTAATTGTAACAATAAATGACAGAACCAAACTAAAATACTTATTGGTAATAGCCAAAGGGTACTTAATTACTCTCATATTACAAAATACAATTTCTCTGTAAAAAGAATCATGTATAACCAAGTCTAAAATTTAACTAGCAAATAAAAATTTCTTTTTCGATTAAACTAAACTTTGCTTATTTTCTTTGGAATTTGCATTTAATAGATATATGTATATATCACAGAGCAAATGTTATATATATATATATATACACACTATAGGGTGGCTCTTATTTACCTTTGATGAAAATATTTTTTCGAATTTTGTTTGCGGCATTTCCCAAACTAAAAATTTTTTTAAAGGATATGAATTAGATGATCAATTCTTGCAAACAGACCCATCAACTTGTGGTCTGAAAACACTAGTTTCCAAAAAGGGCTGGAAGTAGTGAATAAACTACGAGTTATTAATGATACGGTAGAAAGGGGTGTTCAATTGATGGAAAATTTTTTATAATAGATTATTCACAAAGAACGCAGGACAAGCACAATATATTTTGTAAATTGTGAATGATTACCACCGTCGGTTTCTCCGACTATAAAAAAAAAAGACATTGTCTAAAAAGATATAAAATCTTATAAGAGACTGAAAGTTATATAATAAAAATAATCTATATAAAATGTGTTAATTTGTAATTATCTTAATTCATTACATTAAGATATGATAAAATAGTCTATTATATATTATTAAGATACAATAAAATATAATGTTCTAAATTTTTCTCAAAAACAAATTACTTTTTAATCTTAACTATAGCATTTTATATCAACGGTTTCTAATATTTTTTTAATAAATTATAATTAAAATTTTAGCATTTTATATCAACGGTTTCTAATATTTTTTTTATAAATTATAATTAAAATTTTCTAAAATGACCCTTCCAAGTTAAAAAATCAAGAATATATATTATATTTTTATATCTCCCTTATTTAAAAATATTCAAGTCAATTAACAAGATTATTAACAATTTTTAATCTATTTCCTGTTTTTTTTTTATTTTTCTCGAAAATCGTTTGTCATACGAAAAAAATAAATAGGACTTAAAATATGCCCCATATTCAAATCTACAACTTTTGTTTAAAACTTTTTTTGATAAATTTAATAACTTAGAAGATATTCAAAAAATCAATGATTTTTTCATTTTACAATAAAGTTCGGAGGCCCGGCGGCACGTTTTCCTCTTATCCGATTGGAATGAAATTTTACACAGATTTTTTTTTTCTTAAATTGGAATTGTTTTGAGGGGTGCCGCAAAAAATATTCGAAAGTCGAAAATAAGAGCCACCCTAATATACACCTATAGAACTAAGCGCGGTTAAGTTCTATTGATGTTTTTTTTTGATCTATTATTTATTTTGCATCCACTAGCATTGATGTTCAGCATGTAAAATAGATTGCATGCTCTTTCGCATAATCGTAAACACACCTGTGATTGAAAGCAATGACCACGTGGAATAATTGATTAGCATTCAGCGAACGATCAACGGTGTAAACGGAGCCTACAATATCGCGCCATAAAATGTTTCATTCAACGCTGCGGAAATTTCTCTAAGAATAATGTTTTATAATGTAGGTTATTCACACGAATTTAATATGGTAATTTAACAAAATGTCAGCATCAATTGTAGCGTATATTAGATAAAAGTTTGAAAATTTAAATATCTTATCTCCAATCCATGTCTTCATTTTCTTCAAAGAAAATTTAATTTTTATATTAAAAAAAAAACAAATTTTTTTTTCCTGAAATCGATCAAGTTTAATATTAAACACGCTATTAAACGTGTTCTAAAGATTATAAAAAGTATGAAATAAATTGTATGAAACAAATTTTGCAACGTGCGATTGGCATTGACAATTAATTCACAATCTGTGAACGTGCTGTCACGGTAAAGTTATGGATACTCTGCAAGAAGACGTAGTTTGATGTTACGTGGTTATCGCGTAATAACATTCTTTTCACTAAACGAAAAGAAAAGATCATCAAACGAGATTGAAACAGGTTTAAATTATCCTCTATATATTACCGCATATCTCTTTTCAGTAATAAAACTTTTTACTTTTGTTTAGAATGTTTAGATGTTAATGGTAATTAACATTTAACAAAAAATTTAGAATTAATAATAAACTATATCTCTATATCATCGCCTATAGCGACTTATGCTAGCATTTATGTTTCCTGTTGCATAGATCTCACAATTAGTTTCTCACCGTTGCTCGTAATTTTCATCTTGATAAACAGCAGCGAACTGCATATACTTCATCGATAGAGCTGCAGATAATTGAAGAGATAAGATGCGCATGATGACGTTTTTTGATGGAAGCTTTAACATGCTTTAAGATGCTCTCTCGTTATCGGATAAATCATTAAACAGAAGTGGATAGCCGTTCTTCGAAACAGCAGGATCAATAACCAAAATAGTTAACATACACGGTTAGACTTATAAATTGTTCGGCAAAAAAACCAACATTTCTTCTGAAATCTAAACATAATATATGTAATAAATAAATTGTGATTACGTCATCATGTTTTTATTTAATCAAATAGAAATAACATAAACAGGTCACAAAATTAAAATTATTGTAAACTGTTCTTCCAAATTCCTTCGATTTCATCTATGTAACATATTTATATGCATATACATATGTATACGTATATATGCAAATAATGTAACAGTTCTGTTAATTTATAAGATGAATAAATATGTGGATAATAAGTATGATATATATTCAAATTTTCATGTCGCTCGTTAGACATGCTCATTTCAAAAATCCAGATCATGTTTTATTTATAGTACAATGAAAGATTAATGAAAGTGTTATAAAGTTGAGAAAAAATTTTCAACTAAAAAATTAAAACTCTTTAACTGTCGATAATTAATAGAAAAAAGTTTTCGTTTATCAAGCAGACTATGATGATAACTTGCTTAATGATATTTGCGAAACTTATCTTTGATTCTTCATTAAAAATTTGTACTTTAAGAAATATTGTCAATTATTCCTTTATTTTAACAAAATATATTTTTTTGCATTATAATGATTAATAATTTTATTATGTTTCTGATTATAGATAAAGTTGGATACATACACAAAAGATGTGGAAAGTTCGATCGATTTTGAGCATTTTCACGATATTGCTCATAATAAGATTTACAAAAGCTGGTGAGAACTATTTATTTATTTTTTCAGTAAATAATATTAGACCGCATTGTGAATATACAGTCTGTTCAATAAGAAAGTGTCTGCCATAATCAAAAAAATATAAAAATTTAGATTAATTTTTTTTTTATTGAAGTACTCATTATTAGCTATTGCGCAATTACCTAATATCGTGTCCAATCACCTCCATTACTGATTATTGCTTAACACCTTTTTTCCATACTTTCGACGAGCTTTTCTGCATATTCGTTTGGCAAAGATCGCCATACCTTCTTAATTTGAATTGACAGCTGCTTCACCGTGTACACTGGCTTTCCTTTGAGTTTCATCTTCATGTACGACCACACATTTTTAATGGGATTAGCATCTGGGGACATTACCGGCCATTCCATCGTCGTAACGTTATTTTCATCTTTTCACGCTCTGCACAGTTTGTTGCGATGTTTAGGATCATTGTCTTCTTGCAACACATAACTTATTCTATCAGAACCATAAAACTTTTCAGCAAACTATATAAACTATATACTGCGCAAAAGAGCATGCAATAAAGCTTCAACCGAGTTCAGGAAGATGTCGCTGCGGTCGCTCTTTGTAGAATAACGAGCGTCACTTTCTTATTGAACAAACTGTGTGTACAAATAAATATTAAATAATATTTCAATGTGAATTTATATACATAGTCAGTTCTATAACTGACGAGCGCCGAAATAATTTTCGATTTTAGAATACAATCTTAAACTGAAACTGAGATAGTAATATCACAAATTAAATTGACAAGCACTTTAATGATACTGATGCTAATAAGTATTGTAAAAAGCTATAAATAATTTATTACGAAAAGTTATAGAACTGGATATGTATAGAGATTCACATCAAAATATTATTTAATTGTAAGTACTAAGATGTGTTTAATCTTTCTTTATTTTAATCTTAATTTATTTAAAAAAATTAATACAAGATAAATTTTTTAATATGTAAAAATCGAATAAATATTTAATCAATTAAGGCCAACTTAAATTTGAGTGTTTATTAATCGTATTGAATTGCAGATTATTACGAGTATAATCGAGACCAATACCGACAAAGCAATGCTCCCTTTAAATGTACAGAAGAGGGTTACCATCCCGATCCGCGTGACTGCAGAGTTTACTATAGATGTGTAGATTGGGGCAACGGCAGTCCGCTGACGACCTTCAAGTTTGAATGCGGAGTAGGCACAGTGTTCTCCAAGGATAAGGGAGACGTTTGTACGTATCCAGAAGATAGTGGTCGACCTGAATGTGGCAGCTCCGAGAATGAACTTGATTCGAATGTACAAGATCCTCCTTCTCCTACATGGACAACAACAATACGAACAACTATGTGGTCACAATCAACTATGATACAGTCCCCAATAACTAAACCATCTACAATCACAACTGAAGCTGCGACAACAATAAAAAAACCAGAAACAACAATACTACCACCATTAACAAATCGGCCACCTATAGACGAACCGGAGGATAACGTTGTTAATTGTCAAAATGGATACCAAAAATGTATACAAGAAGGATTTTTAGCAGATACTTGTGATTGCAGAAAATTCTACAGATGTGTAAACGAAGGTTACGGAAAGTTTACAAAATATGAGTTTAAGTGTGGAGTGGGAACTGTTTGGGATCCAGAAATTCAAGCATGTAATCACGCTTGGGCTGTTACAAGGAAAGATTGTAAGCAGAACTTGGAAAGTGGGGATAATAATGGACAATGGAACGGTGACACTGGAGACAACAGTGGACAATGGAATGGTGATACTGGTAGTCCAGGACAACCTGGAGATCCAAATGGTCAACCAGGACAAACTGGAGATCCAAATGGCCAACCAGGACAACCTGGAGATCCAAATGGCCAACCAGGGTCACCGGGTAGTCCAGGCTCTCCGGGATACCCAGGAACACCAGGTTCTCCAGGCACTCCAGGTTCACCGGGTAGTCCAGGCTCTCCGGGATACCCAGGGACACCAGGTTCTCCAGGCTCTCCGGGATATCCGGGGACATCACCGGGTTCTCCAGGCACTCCAGGTTCACCAGGTAGTTCAGGCTCTCCGGGATATCCAGGGACATCAGGTTCTCCAGGCTCTCCGGGATATCCGGGGACACCGGGTTCTCCAGGGACTCCAGGTTCACCGGGTAGTCCAGGCTCTCCGGGATACCCAGGGACACCAGGTTCTCCAGGCTCTCCGGGATATCCGGGGACACCGGGTTCTCCAGGCACTCCAGGTTCACCGGCTAGTCCAGGCTCTCCGGGATACCCAGGGACACCAAGTTCTCCAGGCTCTCCGGGATATCCGGGAACATCACCGGGTTCTCCAGGAACTCCAGGTTCACCGGGTAGTCCAGGCTCTCCGGGATACCCAGGGACACCAGGTTCTCCAGGCTCTCCGGGATATCCGGGTTCTCCAGGCACTCCAGGTTCACCGGGTAGTTCAGGCTCTCCGGGATACCCAGGAACACCGGGTTCTCCAGGCTCTCCGGGATATCCGGGGACATCACCGGGTTCTTCAGGTACTCCGGGTTCTCCGGGTAGTCCAGGCACTCCGGGATACCCAGGAACACCAGGTTCTCCAGGCTCTCCAGGTTCGCCGGGTAGTCCAGGCACTCCGGGATATCCAGGAACACCGAGTTTTCCAGGCACTCCGGGATACCCAGGGACACCGGGTTCTCCAGGCTCTCCGGGATATCCGGGAATATCACCGGGTTCTCCAGGCACTCCGGGTTCTCCAGGTAGTCCAGGTACTCCGGGATCTCCAGGGACACCGGGTTCTCCAGGCACTCCAGGTTCATCGGGTAGTCCAGGCTCTCCAGGATATCCAGGAACACCGGGTTCTCCAGGCACTCCGGGTTCTCCGGCTAGTCCAGGCACTCCAGGTAGTCCTGGCTCTCCGGGATACCCAGGAACACCGGGTTCTCCAGGGTCTCCAGGTTCGCCGGGTAGTCCAGGTAGTCCAGGCACTCCAGGTAGTCCAGGCTCTCCAGGATATCCGGGAACATCACCGGGTTCTCCAGGCACTCCGGGTAGTCCAGGCACTCCAGGTAGTCCAGGCTCTCCGGGATATCCGGGGACACCGGGTTCTCCAGGCTCTCCGGGATCCCCAGGAACACCGGGTTCTCCAGGCACTCCGGGTTCGACGGGTAGTCCAGGCTCTCCGGGATACCCAGGTACACCGGGTTCTCCTGGCTCTTCGGGATATCCAGGGAGACCGGGTTCTCCAGGCACTCCAGGTTCTCCGGGTAGTCCCGGCACTCCAGGATACCCAGGGACACCGGGTTCTCCGAGCAGTCCAAACATTCCTGGATCTCCTGGAAATCCAGACTCACCGAACTCATCTGTTAATCAACCGTCAACAGGTACGATAACTTAAAATATTATATATGTGTATATTATAATTTTACTATTAGTAAAAATTTTACTATTAGTAAAAATTTTACTATTAGTATAAATAAAATCTTGTGTGTGTGTGTGTGTGTGTGTGTTTTAGGTATTTGTACAGTAGAAGGCTTTTTCTCTGATCCACAAGATTGTCGTAAGTTTTATCGATGTGTCGATAATGGCATGTCCTCTTTTATAAAATACGACTTTCAATGTGGTGCTGGAACCGTCTGGGATTCGTCCATTCAGAGTTGCAATCATGCTTATGCTGTACCGCATTGCAATAAAGCAAATGGTGCAATTACAGATAAACCCGACACATCGCTGAATGAAATAAATAGTACAATTGGACCAGATACAAGCAAATTACCATCGCAATCTTCTGAAAGCTCGACTTTCCCATCTACAAAACCAGACATACAATCTTCGGCTCAACCTGATAGCACTACCGGTAATTCCATTGCACCATCTCAGACGACGTCAACTTCTTATTTGCCACCCAGTAGTACATACTCGTCTTCGACAATGCAAGTTACCGAATCTGTTTCTTATGTTCCTCCTGCATCACAAATGACTACTACATCTGTATCTTATTTGCCACCCTCGACTACTACCAACGGAATATCTGAATCTACACCCGAATCTGTTTCATATTTGCCACCTGATACTAGTTCAACAACTACTTTGCCAAGTTCTGCTTCGTCAGCTGCATCTTCACCTCAGAATGAAAAATACAAGTGTACTAAAGAAGGTTTCTTTCCGGATCCTGATAACTGCAAAAAATTCTATCGTTGTGTTCAAGACCAATCCGGATATCAAAAATACGAATTTGAGTGCAGCCCTGGTACAGCATGGGATCAATTAATACAAACATGTAATTATATCGATAAAGTAGCTTCATGTTCATCAGGTAGCAATGAAATCGATCAAGGCCTTGGATCCAGTACTCCTACATCTGAACTTCCTGCCATGAGTAGTTCCACAACTGTTTCTAGTCAAACAATTGCGACTACATCTCCAATTCCAATTTCTACCGAAAGCACTACAACTGTCAGTACTTCAAGTGAAACATCAGACAAAACAGAGTCATCATCGACAACAAGTACTATCACATCTGTTAGTAGTAGCGAAAATCCAGCTTCAGAAAAACCAGAAGAGGTTCAAATGCCTGGTTCTAGTACAGAAATTTCATCCGAATCCTCATCTGAATCTACTTCTGAATCAAATGAAGGATCATCTTCATCTACATCAGAATCACATGCACCAGATTGTGCGACACAAAAGCCGAGCAACGCAATAGTATGCAATAACGAAGGATTTTATCCGCATCCAACTAGGTGCGATAAGTTCTATCGCTGTGTCAATAATGGCAATGGTTTCAATGTATATCATTTTGACTGCCCACCAGGCACTATTTTTGATTCTAGCATCAGTGTATGTAATTATCCTGAATCTGTTTACCCCGCAAAAGATTGTACGACTGGAAATACTTCAACCAGTGTAGAATCGACAACTCAATCCGGAACGCCTGAACAATCGACATCAGAGGCAACTGCTACTGTAGCTGCACATGGCACAACTCAGCAAACAGAAGAAAGTACAATCACAACGACTGAGCTTGGTACGTCAACTTCAGAAGAAAGCGCTTCTACTTCTACAGAATCAACGACATCAAATTCGCTACCGGAGAGTAGCGAAAGTATGATAGAGTCTACGACTGAATCAACTACTGCCACTACAGAAACTGCTATCGATTCTAGCACTTCTGAACAAAGTAGTGAAGCTACAACTGAAGCTGCTCCTTCCACAGAATCCGGAATGTCTACGACCGAGTCTCAAGAACAATCTACGGAATCCCAGGAACAATCGACAACTGAAGAATCCCAGGAGCAATCAACAACAGAGTCAAAAGAACCATCTACTACAGAAACTCAAGAACAATCAACGACCGAATTACAGGAACAATCCACGATAGAATCTCAAGAACAAACGACTGAATCATCAGAATCGACAACAGCGGAACAAGGAGCACCTTGTTCTATAGGCAATTTAACTGACGATCAAATAACTCTAGTTTGTCCCTCTGGCTTCCGAAGGCATCCGAAACATTGTAATCTATTCTATCAATGTACTTCCGAAGGCAACATGGAAATAAAGATTCTCGTATTGAGTTGTCCCGAAAATACCATTTTTGACGAGAAAAAGATTCAATGTCTATCCGAAAGTGAAAGCAGTCAGCCATGCATGGGAACCAAGACAAGTGCCAGATTTTATAGAAGATTAGAAGATCATGCTTTATCACCTGTAAGTATTTTCAATAATCAACTAAATAAACTTATAACAAAAATATTCATTGCAAAATGTTTTTTCAATTTTAGGTAAAAGTATCGTCAAATCAGCTTTGTCCGCAAGAAGGACATTTTCCTTATCGACAAGGTTGCAGCAATACCTTTTACAAGTGTAAACGCGATGTCCGAAACAGTTTACAGGGATACCTCTATAAATGTCCCGAAAACTTTGTTTATTGGTCGGTCTCTAGAAGATGCGAACGTGTGACACGTCTCCCAATGTGTTCGCATTTGTCGTATAGAGATAAAATTGACTGGAATGATCGATGGCAAATACCGACCGAAGATTTTAATCTTTCCGCCAGAATGTTACACTTCTCTTGATTGCTTTATGGTATTTCCTATATTTTACACTCTTAGTAAATACGAGTTGCAAATTAGCCATAATAATGTCTATAGAAAACATATATTCTTTTTAATTAATTGCCATTCTCGATGAAAATTTGGAATAATTGAATATACAAGAAGAATTAGTGAAATTACAATATTATCAAATTAATAATGATGGATTATTAAAAGTAAATATGTTATAGAGTAATTGCATATTTAAATGAATGATTAATACAATGTGTGTATGATGTTTGTTTATCTTTTTATAAGTTATAAAACATTCCTAAAATAATATTCTAATTAAACTTTTTGCTTATTCTGATGCAAAAAGTTATTTTTGCTAGTGCAAAAATATGTAATATTATTAATTTCCAATAATTTCCAATACTGTATGACATTTAACAACATGGCTACGGAAGATCTCGATTAAAAATTTAACAATAGATCTTCGGCAGTCGTCTTGGATGAATTATTGTCAAACTGCCATTACGCAATCTTTAGTCAGTAATAGTTATGATGTTGAGTCTATATATATTAATAATACTATTAATAATTATTGACAAATGTGATTAACTTTGCAATGCGTGAATCGAATACAAGAACAAATTTTGATTATAGAATTGGGGGATTATTTATTTTTGTTAATATATCATGTAATTCAAATTATTATTATTTCGTTATTACTAAATATCAAATGAAAACATATATAAAAGGAAATATATTTGCTAAAGTAAATAATTTCCAATTTTCATAGAATTATCATTCAGTATCATTATTTTCAATTACTAGTATTTGATACTGGGGATGGTTGTGGGACTTGTATGCAATATTCTGATTGTATAATATGCACAATATGCTATTTTATATATTTATTAATTGAATTTCATATCTCGCATAGAAAATATTCATGAAAGGCACATCATTAAAAAATGTAGAATTTTGCTAAATGTGGCAGCTAGTTATTTAGGATATATCGTGTAAAAATATTCACGCGCAATGTGCACGCGTTTTGTATATATCTTGACAAGTAATTTCTCGTAAGAAGTCAATGCTTTCTCACGAAGTATTCTAATGCATTTATCGAGATATTTATAGTATATGAATAAATTAAGATCAATACTTGTTCACTTAATTCTGTGACGTTTGCGTGTTTATATTTGATCTCTACATAAAATTTGTATTAATAAATCGTATGTGTGTGATAAGAATCATTATTTTATTTTCCCGTCCTCTTACGTCAAAATACTTTTTAGTTAAAAATTTTGCTTAATATTTCTTCTAAATATGCATTTATGTATCACCAACCACCATCAGTAGATGAGATAAAATACTAAATAGTTAAAATTACTTTTCTTTGTACAGGAGTATGAAAAATTAGAGTTCAAAAAAATTTACTGTATATTAATAACGTGTCTTCCCAGAATTTATCATATAGCTAGAATAAGAAATAATAAATAATCATTAATAACATATCGAGATAAAAAAACAATTTTATACAGATAGAAAATGATACTCACCCCGAAGATTGCTCCGCCGGTGCCTGATGTCTCACCCAGATCACAGGACACTCGCGAAAAACACTCGCAGATGTATACTTAATATACTACAATCGCGCGCGGATTAATGATTATTAATAAAAGTCGACCGCGCGACACTATCATACTCCACGTTTATACAACGTCCATTAATGTCAACGATATACTTATATTACTTCAAAAATAAATGCGCGACGCGACGAACCGGCTGCGATTCGTTTATATTCACTTAAATCGGCGACGAAGATACGTTAGCTTCCCTCTTGGATTATTTTTACACAGAGAGACTTTGTTCAAGTATCTAAAAATTTAGTTACATACATTAGATATTTTTAAATACTTTTTAAGTTTTTACGCAATATCGCGAAAGATGCATGAAACGAGAAATTTATTAAATTATTATTAATTACACAACACTCTAGTTGTATTATTTTTGTGCGACAATAGCGTCGCGTAAAATTTCTATAAGAATATTAAGTTGCATTTTTTGTAGCTTGTGCAATATCGCATTTGATTGATTTCAAAGTATAATTATTGAGAATATTATATTCAAGCAAAAGAAAAATTTTATGTTAATAAATATTTTGGTAAATATCTAGATCAGGGGACCCCCCCCCAATGACCTTGACCTTGACATATGTTGTCAAGGTCATGACCCTGAGTGACCTTCAACAAGTTTTAGCCGTCGCTCGTTATTCGTTAAAAAGTTATAAACAAAAAAAGTTCAACTATATAATATATAAGAGAATTCATTGCTTTCAAATATGTTTGACAGTCGTTCACTGTACGGGGTGCCGCGCCGACCCTTACGGAAAAAACTCTGAAAATTTCAGTGTTTATACTCAAATTTGAGTGTAAACCCTAAATTTTGGGAGTTTACTCTAAAATTTGTGTGTTTACACTTAAATTTTGAGTGTTTACACTCAAACATTGAGTATATATATATATACACTCAAAGATTGAGCGTTCACAACGTTCATACTCAAATTTGAGTTTACACTAAACATCTAAAGGTTACTCTCAACACTTGGGTATGATAAGCAATAAATGAGCGCAAACCCTAAACCTTTGAGTGTCTTCAAAATTGAGTATATAAACTTAACAGATATTTGAGTTTTAATTTCCATGAATAAGATAAATGCCAAAATATTGAATGTAGATGCCCGCAAATATTTGCGTACTTAAAAATAATGGCGTTTACAATTTAATATTTGTTCTGAAATTTTAATTTGTTTTGAAATTTTTATTTGTTTTGAAATTTTAATATTATTAGAATAAAAAAAGGCCTGGATAGCGGCTACACAAAATATATCTTTATTATTCTGATAACTAATAATACTTAGTAGTACAAAACGAGTACACATAAAACTTATAGCCGTGTACATATATAGCAACTTAAGAATAGGGGTGAAAAACTGAATATAATAATACCGTAACGTGGCATACAAAACCCGCCATGAAACAAGACAACATATATCGAAAAAGAAAAAGCGGCAAAACCAAGAGACAGTCCGGATAACACAGAAAAACTTAAGATTCGTCAAACACAACGCCTGAGTCGTCTACACGCTATGCGCATACCGCGCCCGCTCTCCATAACGCGTTTAAATTATTAAATTGCTGTTGCTAATTTCTAACAAATATTTATTTCTATTCCTACAATAATACTTCCTACATTGTACGTAGAGTCTAAGGGTAAAATCACACGGTGCGGAAAAGAAAATATGTCACAAAAACAACCAATCAGCTTTATTCTGCGTTATTCCGAATAGCGCTAATTGGTTGTTTCAATGGGCGCATTCAGTGGACTCAACAGTTGAGTGCGAGTGCCATGCTCGCTGTTATGAGTGTATTCTCTTAGCTCATCCAATCAGAATTTTAGATCTAGAAGAATATACCAATAACAGCGAGTGCTCACTCAACTGTTGAGTCCGCTGAATAACGCATTCTTTGTTCCGCAATCATTTTCCGCACCGTGTGATTTCACCCTGACACTAAAGTTAACTATCAAGTTGAGAATAAGGGCCATTCCACACAAACTTGCATAGCCGCATAAACATATGCATAAAGAAAATCATCCAATCGTAGTTTACGCTTGGCTTTATGACAGAAATGTGATTGGATAATTTTCTTTATGCATATGGTTATGTGGCTCTGCAAGTTTGTGTGGAATGGCCCTTACACTCAACATCCAAGTTATCGGGTGCCATCCAGTTGGACACGGCTCAATTGGACACGAGCCACTCACAGCGCTTGAGACTACAAAGCTCCTAAGCACCGGTCGCTGTGATTGGTGGTGTCCAATCGAGCCGTGATCAATCGGGATCACCCCCAAGTTATCAAATAACACTCAAGTTGAGAGTTATACTCCGGTTGAGCGTCCAAAATAATCATTAATTGAATGTTACCTTGAGTGTATTTTTTCAGTGTTTTTTAAAGTGTAAACACTCAAATTTTAAGAGTTTTTTCCGTAAGGGGATGACTGCGACTTTGACATATGTCATCAAGGTCATGATCCTGAAAGATTTCCAACAAGTTTTAGGTGGCTTTCATCTTTGACTTTCACCCCCACATCCCTCCTACAAAGGGGCTCACGACTCTCATCTTTGACTCTCAACCCCCTCCAGCCCTGCTTCAGGGCCGCACGACTCTCACCTTCGACTCTCACCTCCCATCTTCCTGCTTTAGGGGCGCACCCCTGGAAAGTTGTGCGCCCCTGAAGCAGGTGTAGGGAGGGTGAGAGTCGAAGGTGAGAGTCGTGCGCCTCTGAAGCAGTGAGAGGGGGGAGGGGTGAGAGTCGAAGGTGAGAGTCGTACGCTCCTGAAGCAGGAGGCAGGGGGGTGCGAGTCGAAGATGAGAGTCGTACGCCCCTGAAACGAATTGATAAAGGCTGCTTTCCTTTTAGGAGACACAAACCGACACAGTATAACACACTCAAACACAGTTTGCCACGCTTAAATGGAACGCGATATGTGCAGTGTGTGTATCGTGTGTACGAACTTTTAATATCTAACCTTAAAAGATTTGAATTTTGATCTTAA